TTTTTTTTTTTTTTGTCTAGTTGATCTGCCTATTTGTGACAGTGGGGTACTGAGGTCCACCATTGCAATTATATTAGTGCTTATTTGATTCAAGAAAAATAACTATACAATGACTTGGTAGTTTTTAAAGAAACGCAAATATATTTATGTTGGAACAGATGCCCTCATCAGTCTTGGACACCCAGCTCTGATTCCCTCTGCACCTCCCTGCCTTCTGTTTTCATTCACAGAGCACAGTGAATGACCTGGCCTTTCTCTCTATAAAATGTGATCTGGGAGTAGAGCAATTTAAAACAGGATTAGACGACAGTATTTTCAGAAGCAAAATCACTGGTGTCTTATTGTTGCTGAGACAAATACCCACACCCACAACTTAAAGGAGGAAAGGTTTATTTCAGCTCATAGTTTGTAGAGGTTTCAGTCCATAGTCAGCCTGCTCCAAGGCAGGATGACATAGCAGAGGAGAAACAATCCATGGTAAGGAGGCAGGAGACAGCGAAACAGCGAAGTAGCCAACCAGCTTGTTTCTGTCCCTTTGTATTCCATCCGGGCTACCCGTCTTTTGGGTGGTGCCATCCTAAATTTATTTTGGCCCTTAAATTTGTTTTTTAAATTGCCAAAAATCCTCCAATGTTTTTTTCTTTCACCATTTTACTTTTTTTTTTCCATTTTACATTCTTTAACATTAAAAAATTTAAGGACTGAGGATGTAGCTCAGTGGTTCTACCACCTGCCTTGCAAGGACAAGGTCCCGGATTCAATCCCCAGTACCAAAAAAAGAAACATTAAAAAAAATTTTTTATCAGGACATGTTTGCACTACATAATATTTACATTCATCTTAGGGAGTTGGTATATGTTCCTAACATATCTTGATTCTTTTTATTTCTCCTCTAGATCCCCTTTTCATTTGCAAGTAATCCATCTTCCTGTTTCTTCTTTATTTTTGATTATGTTTATTTATACTTTAGGTTCCTTATATAAGAGAAACCATGTGATACTTAAGCTTGTGTGATTTATTTCACTTAACATCATGGCTTCAAGATGCATCCATTTTCCTGCAAATGAGTCAGATTTATTCTTTTTGGCAGAGTAGTACTCCATTATGTATAAATACTGCATTTTGTTTACCCATTCATCTGCTGCTTCCAACATTTAGCTCTTATGAGCTGTCCTGCTATGAATATGGCTGTGTATTACTGTGGGATAATGCCTTTAACTTTTGGGAAGATACCTTCAGGGGGAATGACTAGATTGAGTGGAAGTTCTAATTTTAGTTTTTGGAGTCTCCATACTGATTTCTATAGTAGTTGTACCAGCTTACAACATCCGCCACTCACTAGCAGCATTTATTATGTGATTTTTTTAATGATAACCATTCTTTCTGGAGTAAGATGGAATCTTATTGTTGTTTTAATTTCTCTGATGCCCAAAGATGTTAAAAAATATAAGCTCATCAGCTCATCAGAGCCCTAAGGGTTGCAGGAGGAGGCTGGAGAGTTATCAATCCTCTTTATCCTCCCTTATGTCAACTAACAAGCATGTTTCCTTCTAGGAGCAGAGAGAGAGCCAGGCTCGTGGAGGCCCTCGAGGGCCCAGTGCCTTTATCCCTGTGGAAGAGGTAAGCCTGTCTGGAAGGGGTTAAGATATCTTTGATTCCTGGAAAAAAAGGGCACGGGATATTGATGGGAATAGGGCCTATTCCTTACTTACACTGGAGCTTTGTAACTACTCCTTTCCCATTCCTGATTCATTTAGTTCACAAAATGGCTCTATGAAATGGGTGCTTTCATCCTCATCTCTCTGGGAAGGGACAGGCTTGGAGAGTTGAAGTGATGACAGCCAAATTTTTGATTCCCAATCCAATGCCTGTTTTTCCTTAATAAAATAGAACTGTCTCTGTGTATCTTCTCACCCTTGAATATGCATATACTACAGAAAAGTTTTCTGCTTTAAAAGTAATATGGGTTCATTATTTTTAAATTTGTAGTGTTTCAGAAAACTCTGTTCTCTTGTTATTCTACCACCTACAGAGATCATTACTGTTAACCATTTGCCATGGTGTTGTGGCCTTTTTTTTTTCAATCCGGATATTTGTTTTCAGTATAGAAACAAAGTCATTGTTTATAGCTTGTGTTTTGTTTTTTCACTTAATACAATAGGAGACACTTTTCATTTACAGAATCAGTTCATTTGTTTGTTTGTTTATTTATTTGCAGTACTGGGAATTGAACCCGGGCCTCAGGCATGCTAGGCAAGCACTGTTCCACTGAGCCACACTCTAGCCCTCATTCATTCATTTAACAGATATGTGTTGAATTATGAAATCTGTATAAGGCATTATTCTAGGAACTAGAGACAGAACAAGACAGGTAAAGATCTTTGCCATCATGCAGCTTACATTCGAGTGTACATGGGTGTTGAGGGTACTTTCAAAACACATATGTAGAAAATTTATAAATTGTTCATTTTCTTTTGCCTTGGAATAGGGATAAATGTTTGGTTCCTATCTCTTCCTGTAAATGTGTAGACCAAAATGGTTAATGATCTGTTAACAAATATTTAGGTTCCCTGTTTCCCCCAGTCCTTCGTAAATGTAAGACAAATAACCACCCATGGATTATTTATATATGTAACCCAGAATATTAAGCTCACATATTTTCCTTATATTATTTTTTCAGTTTTAAATAACTGCTGTTTTATAATAAAGGAAAGAAACAGAGTTTGGAGTTCATCTAGATTTGAATCCTGGTTTTGTCATTTACCGTATCTGTGGGCTTAACAAGGAATAATACCTGTCTGGTTTCCTCATCTGTCAGTGGGGAAGACAATAGTAACCTCACAGAACTATTTGAAAGATTTAGTAATGCAGAGAAAACCCCATCTTAGACATGGCATGGAGAAAACACTCAGGAAATGTAAACCATTTTTTGCACCTGGCCTTTAGTTGTTATGCACATTTACCATGGTAGAACAGAAGCTTCATGAAGGGCCAAGAAACTGTTGTGTTTTTTTACCCCAGTGGAAGGGATTGAACTCAGGGCCTTGTGCATGCTAACCACACACTCTATCACTGAGCTACAACCCTAGCTCCCAGAAACACTACTTTCAATTGCTGTGTCTGAGTTTTCCTATTTAAAAATGGAAAAGGAAGGGCTGGGGATTTAGCTCAGTGGTTCCAGCACCTACCTTGCAAGTGCAAGGTACCAAGTTTGATCCCTGGTACCAAAAAAAAAAAAGGAAAAGGAGCTGGGGATATGGCTCAGTGGTAGAGTGCTTGCCTAGTATGTGTGAGACCCTGAGTTCCATCACTGCCAGAAAACATAAATAAATATAAAGGAGAAAATAGAACTCCAATTTCATAGTTGCTGTGAGGATGGTTTTATTTCCTTTTTTTTTTTTTTTGGTACAGAGGATCGAACTCAGGTCCTTGCGCTTGCAAGGTAAGCGACGAAACCACTGAGCTAAATCCCCGACCCTTTATTTACATTTTTTGTTATTGTGGTGCTGGGGATCAAACCTAGAGAAGCTGGTGTATACTAGGCAACAGACAGCTGTGCCACTGACCCAGTGGTTATAAGGATTAAATGAGTTATACATATGAATTGCTTGAACAATGCATGGCACAGTATTAAATAAATATTGACTTATTACATACAGTACCTAATAAGGTTTTGTTTAATCACTTCATGGAATTATCTTTTCCTCTCCATTCTCCCTTTTTGGACACATGGTGGATTTCAGTCTTCTGCTCTTATATCCACCACAAAGAATGTTGATCAGACAGGAGGGAACCCATACTTTACTTTTTGCTTGGCAGGTCCTCCGGGAGGGGGCTGAGAGCCTGGAGCAGCACCTGGGGCTGGAATCACTGATGTCCTCGGGCCGGGTGGACAACCTGGCAGTAGTGATGGGCCTGCACCCCGACTACCTGAGCAGCTTTTGGCGCCTGCACTATCTGCTGCTGCACACAGATGGGCCCCTGGCCAGCTCGTGGCGCCACTACATTGCCATCATGGTGAGCCTGTCTGCACTTGACCCTCGTAGGGGTGGCCACGGAGTGGGGGTTCTGAATCGGATCTCTCTGCTGGAGGCTTCCTGAATTGATTTCATAGATGAAACAGAAAGGCCTAACTTGGAGCCAGGTGTGGTGGTACATGCCTATAATCCACCCATTACTTGGGAGGCAGAGGCAGGAGAATCACCATGAGTTCAAGGCCAGCCTGAACTGCATAGCGAGGCCCTGTCTCCAAAACCAAAAAAAAAGAGAGAGAGAGAGAAAGAAAAAAGAAAGGCCTAGCTTTATCTGACTGTCCATAGAATTTTAGTTTTAGTTTTGAAGAAAGACATCCTTTATGCCTGCTTTACAGATTAGAAAATTGAAGGGCAAAGGAGTCAGGTGACCTGCAAAACTGGTGGCAGAGCTTGCCTTAAAGCCTAGCTTTTCTGCTTCTTAGCGACAGTAAGCCCTGTGGTACACCTCCCCCTGAGAAGGAAGAGAGTGACCCAAGCTCTGACAACCCCTTCCACAGGCTGCTGCCCGACACCAGTGTTCTTACCTGGTGGGTTCCCACATGGCCGAGTTTCTGCAGACTGGTGGTGACCCTGAGTGGCTCCTGGGCCTCCATCGGGCCCCTGAGAAGCTTCGGAAACTCAGTGAGATCAACAAGTTGCTGGCACACCGGCCATGGCTCATCACCAAGGAACACATCCAGGTACAGTAGACAGAGAAGCGGGTCCCCAAGGGAGCCCTGGGGCTGGGCTGGGATGTGGCTGGCAGCCCAGGGGCAGACACTGAGCAAGCCTGACCTTCTCTCCTATCCAGGCCTTGCTGAAGACGGGTGAGCACAGCTGGTCCCTGGCTGAACTCATCCAAGCCCTCGTCCTGCTCACCCACTGCCACTCACTGGCCTCCTTCGTGTTTGGCTGTGGCATCCTTCCAGACGGGGACCCAGAGGGCAGCACTGCCCCCCAGGCACCATCACCCCCCAGTGAGCAAAGCAGCCCCCCCAGCGGGGACCCACTGAATAACTCTGGGGTAAGTCACCATGGCCTGGTGTCTTGTGGGGAGGAAGCTGGTGTAGCCTCTGGTCCTTGGGTTGCAGCTACTATTTCCATATCTCCTCAGGGTGAGAGGCCACAAAAATGTTATTTGACTTTGAAGCTCAGATTCCTCATCTGTTGAGTGGGATAAAGACCATACTCACCGAGGGTTGTGAGGATTAAGTGAAGTACCATGTGACTGGCCTTTCAACGTGTAGCCCCTGAGTTTAAACACTTAAAAAGACAAAGTTTGAACCCAGGCATGGTGGCACATATGTGTGGTCCCGGCTGAGGCTGAGGTGGGGGGGGTTGTCATGAGTTTGAGGCCAGCCTGAACTACATAGGGAGACCTCTTCTCAAAACAAATAAAGATAGTTTACCTAAGACTCCTTAATATGACCTTGTTTTGGGCCTGGGATTTAGCTCAGTGGTTCTGCTGCCTGCCTTGCAAGCACAAAGTCCCAAGTTCGATCCCCGGTACCAAAAAAAAAAA